TACTAGCCAACGCAACAGTGGTTCAAGGCAAAGGAGTGCTGTGCAAACCCTTGTTGAAGCCATCCTTTTCTGCTCTGCAAAGAAAAATACTATCTACTTGTATCTGGCCTTACCACTTTGCAAGAAATTAATTACATAGATATTGGTAAGTTAGAATTTGTAACTTGCAGCAGCTATGTGTTATAGTAGTCAGTACATTTTTTAAAGTGGAGGGTATTTTACTCCTGCTTGCTTACTATGGAAGTACCTCTCCCCCATTTATATTCCTCAGTTCTAGTCTCATGTTCTTGTCAAAACGATCTAGGCCCCTTCCACACAGCTGAGTAAAACTCACATTTTCTGCTTTGATCTGGATTATATGGCAGTGTGGACTCGGATAACCCAGCTCAAAGCAGATACTGTGGGATTTTCTGCCTTGATATTCTGGGATATAGGGTTGTGTGGAAGGGCCCCAAGTCTATGCTTCTTGCTGCTTTCACCAGAAGGCTTTGCAGTACAGGTGGGTAAAGCAATGAACATTAAAGCTTTTCAGTTAGCTTCGAATGTGCTTTGAATTAAAGAAACTCCACTGCTAATAATATGTAGCTGTGAATAGGGGTAAATAGCTATTCTTATTGAACACAGATTAATAAATGAATTGTCTGTGCAGCAAGTTAGGAAAAGTGCTTTCAAGTTTCTAAAATTAGTTCTGTTCCACGCTTGACCATATTTTGTGCTAGATATCACTACAGTGACATTACACTGTTATGCTTTTTTGAAGTTGATGTGAACTAGAAATATAGAGGTACTTTTTCATATTTCACTTCTTTTTCATTAAGTCTCATTCAGAGAGGCGGGAGCCTGGGACCCTGATTTCTTGCTCCATTCCATTTCTATTATCTGTACAGATATAATCTCAATTTGAGCCATTACAGGTGATTACAGTATGTTACACCAGCCAAGTTAGCCTTTTAGTACATAGAATCCACTAAGATCTGGACTTTGCTTGTATTCTACTATATATAGGAATCCATTCTGAGGCTACTGATTGGGATTGTCATTGATGTGATTGACTTACAAACGTTTGAAGATAAACTTGTGAACAAAGCCTCAGTCTTTACCTTTCTGTGTATGTTAAGGCCTTTGGAAAAGTTGGTCTCTTGAATATCAGTAGGGCTTTCCCTTCGGATTGGAGAATGTTTCTTTAAATGTAGGATTAATGAGATCTTCTCATGACCAGATTATTTCAGACTTCTCTTCAATGTGAATTTGAGAGACTTACATTCTTTTAAGTCCTTATGTATTTCTTGAAGGATGTGTGCTTTTGTCAGATACACATTCTTCATGGAAGAAATAGAATACTGTGAATATATGTTTGGTGGTTCTTCAGTTAATGGAATTTCATTCCTGTCCTTCCATATGGCATCTGGAGATGATCCATCTGTTCAGTAAAGGTAAAAGTTTTCCTTGACATTAAGTCTATTTGTGTCAACTCTGGGATGGTGATGCTCAACTCCCTTTCTAAGCCGAAGAGCCGGCGTTGTCTGTAGACACCTCCTAGGTCATGTGGCCAGCATGACTGCATGGAGTGCCATTACCTTCCCACCAAAGCAGTACCTATTGATCTACTCACATTGGCATGTTTTTGAACTGCTAGGTTGGCAGAAGCTGGGGCTAACAGCGGGAGCTCACCCCACTCCCTTAATTTGAACCACTGACCTTTTGGTCAGCAAGTTCAGCAGCGGTTTAACCCACTGCACCACCAGAGGGCCCTTTTATCTGTTCAAGGAGATAATCAGTTTCTTTGGCTTCTGCACATAACATTCCCACTTCACTGTTTCAAAAATATTTTATGAGAGAATGACCCATGTTCAATCTTCATTCCCTAGATGTTGGGGATCAATCATTTGCTATTTTTTCTCAGTTTGAGTTTTAATGTTTGCTTCTGTTCTCTTGTGTACACTGTAATTTTAGTTCGGAAATGTGTGCATTTCACAATCAGTTAAACGGGCAGTTTATTTCTGATGCTACTTAGGGACACGACCAGTCGTTATAGTTTTCTACTTTTTTAATAGCATGTCAAGGAAAGTCTGCATAAGTCATTTCAGGGATATTTTAATGCTGGAGTCTAATGCAGACAGGTATTTTAGACAGCAAGATTAGACCCAGAGCACATGTTTGTACCACATCCTGGCCTTCCTGATACAGATTATTACATCAAACAGTTGGGGTGGAGAATAGAAGGAAGTCTATTGAATTGGTATGCATGGTAAAACTATCTCAGCTATCCACAATTTTGAATTTGTAATTGTACCCTGGAGTGTCATTGGGAGGTGGCGGGGACCCTAGGCCCTCACAAGCTATATAGCTAGCCCTTATATGTAAACTTTGCCAGGTTCTATTAAGCCATTAAGACCTAAAGTCCGACCCTGGAGGCAGATTGTAGTCAATGATCAGTCTTCCAGCAGCAGAGATACCAATGACTACTATGCTGGCCATCAGATGACAAATTGGCCACAACAGTTATGAACCCAGTGATAAGTGAAAGAGACCCCAACAGAAGTGGAAAAATGTAATGTAAAATGTTGTTTTTCCCCCATGGATAACACCTCTCTCGGAATAGCATAACTCTTTACTATAAAATCAAAATGGAACACCCAGGTCTAGGGATTTCTAGGGAGAACATTTCTCAAACCTGCAAAAGTTGAACGCACAAATGTGGAAGGCCTAGAGATTCCTATAGAGGTGTATCTGTGATCTGTTCAGGTAAAGCAGGCTACCTGCACATTCAAGCATCACATAAGGTAGACAATAATACATCAGAAAAAGTAGACAGTAATTATGCAATTCCTTGTAACTTGTCAGATGGTTGTTTGTTGATCAAACATACATAAAGTAAGGGGTTAAACTGCATCCCTGAAGACCCATTTGTGATTAACCCCTTTAGAGTCCAGAACAGTCTTTTACCTGGACCAAAAGGTGCAGTTCCTCTAGTGGAAACAATCTTTTACAATTTCAAATTAAAAAAACCTCTGAGGATGCTTGCCATAGATGTAGGTGAAACGTCAGGAGAGAATGCTTCTAGAACATGGCCATATAGCCCGAAAAACCTACAACAACCCAGTGATTCCAGCCATGAAAGCCTTCAACAATATAATCTTTTAAATAGATTGTGCCCCGATAAAAATGAGATACATGTAGGCAAGCAACATCAATGGGGAAGAACACACCAACTAGGAAAGGTTGCAGCAGTTTGCTTTTGCCTCTTCTTGCTGGGAAGAGCAAGATCCTGGCCTCTTCCCTTCCCACCACTTTAACGGTCACGGCTCAATGCTATAGAATAATGGGAGTTATAGTTTTATAAGGCCTTTCATCTGTCAAATAATCCTGGGGATCTCACAAACTACAACTCCCAAGATACCGTAGTATGAAGCTGTGACACTCCAAGTTATTTAAAACTGCATTAATTCATCAATATACATCTATTTCTGTTTTATTGACTACTAGCTGTACCCACCACGTGTTGCTGTGGCCAACCTTCCCTCCCTCTCTCTCTTCTTTCTTTCTCCCCTTCCTTCCCTCCCTCTTTCCTTCCTTCCCTTTTTTCTTTCTTTCTCTCCTTCCTTCCTTTTCCCCTTTCCTCCCCTCTTTTCTTTCCCTTACTTTCCCCCCTTCCCTACCTATTCTTGGACTGCAACTCCCAGCAGTCCTCCTGATCAGTCTATCTATCTACCTACCAATCTCTATCTAATCTATCTATCTGGAGGATTGCTGGGAGTTGCAATCCAGGAATAGAAAATTGGAAATATGCTGGGATTGGGATGCTCTCAAAGAAATCCAAGGAGAAGCAAGCTTGCAGCTTGGAAGCAGTGCATTTAGATCATCCTCCTCTCCAAATAGGCCTGGTCTAGGGATGCTAGGAGCTGTAGTCCGGAAGAGAGTGTGGGTATGCTATTGTGTGTTTTGTGTGCTGAGGGAGTTGTTTTTATGCATGCGCTGCATTGTCTTTTTGCTTTTTTGGCCTTGTAAGTCCTTTCCACTGTGCTTTTCAGTGTTTTTATGAGTGATGGTCACTAGTTGGCCTGGTAAGTGTGTTGTGTCCAAATTTGGTGTCAATTTGTTCGGTGGTGTTTGAGTTATGTTAATCCCGCAAACCGACATTGGTGTCTCTGTAGATCTTAGAAAACAGATTGATTTAAGTCATGGACGTGCTGGCTGATACCCAAACAAGGGATGGGCTGGAGATGTCACTGCCTTGGTCCTTTCACTGTTGGCTGCTACTTCCCGGTGGATGTCAGGTGGTGCAATACCAGCTAAACAGTGTGATTTCTCCAGTGGTGTGGGGCGCAGACACCCCGTCATAATGCAGCATGTCTCATTAAGAGCCACATCCACTGTTTTAGCGTGGTGAGATGTGTTCCACACTGGGCATGCATACTCAGCAGCAGAGTAGCACAGCGCAAGGGCAGATATCTTCATTGTGTCTGGTTGTGTGGTTCTTGGTGGTATGGGGATACCAAACTGCATTAAGTCTACAGTGTAGATACAGCCTTGGAGAGGAACGAGGTTAATTTTTCTTATTCTCACTTTCAGATATTTTCTGTTTCAAAGCTGCTTTTCTATCTCCTTTTCAGGGGAAGCCCACTAAATAAGAGTGGGACCCCTTTCTGCACAAAATGTTAGAAATGTTCCCAAATTTCAAACTTCTATAATTAGATATTATAATTGAATGACTATTGTATTAATTTTGAGGGAATGTAATTGTAAATTCCACCCTTGGAGTTTATTATTTGAAAGAAACCAGAAGGAGAATGCAACTCTGCCCTGCCACCAACTTCTACTGTTTTAAGGCAGCAACTCCTCTCTGCCTTCTTTTACATTCAAAATGGCGGCGACCACATTGTACTGTACACAAATCGAGGCCTTTCCGCCATGGAAACTACAGCCCCCGTCATGCAACTCAAAGGTCACGTGCGTGACGTATTCCTCCTGCGCGTTACGCTGGCTATAAAAAGCCGCCGAGGGCGTTCCGAGGCCTTTCCGCCGTTGTCGCTGGCTCCGCCATCTTGAAGGCGAGGAAGCTGGCGGGGGCTGGCGCGGTTTCGTGAATCCGTCACCATCCGGCCGCGGTCTTGTTGAGACTTCTTGAGGGCTGAGCCCGGGGGAACGTCCCCGACATGAGAGCTAAGGTGAGAGCGGTATTGAGTTGCGGGATGGGGTTATTTGGGGGAATGGAGCGGGTTGGAGGCCTGTGGGGAGAGGAGAGGCCTACTTCATCGCTTTATGAGGTAGGTAGGTGTATCTTCATGGGGGATGGTGAAGGTAACGGCGGGCAGAAGGGGTGCCCGAGGCATTTCGGAGTCTCCTTGTAGTGAAGGCCCAAAGGAACTCTGGTTGAGGCCCAGGCGATCTTCCAAATAAAAGCCTGGCGGTGGATTGGAACGGATGCAGTCTCGTGTTTCGAGTGGAGAGAGGCTGGAGGAAAAAGAATAAAGGTCCTCCAGTACTGCAGAATTAATGTTGGGATTTGTAGCTTGAGAAGGCACCAGGACTTTTTGGCAGAGAAGGCTGAAGACCTTGTCGGGCCACAACTCTTAGGATTCCATAGCATTACACCATGGCAGGTTAGAATGGGCCCAACTGTATTAATAATACAGTGTAGATAAGGCACGGGCAAACTTGGGCCCTCCAGGTGTTTTGGACTTCAACTCCTACAATTGCTGTTAGGAATTGTGGGTGTTGAAGTCCAAAACACCTGGAGGGCCCAAGTTTGCCCATGTCTGGTGTAGATGCACTCTAAAACATGGCACTTTTGAATAAGGCAAGCAGAGATTAATCCCTTTTGAACTCTGCCTATAAGATTGTACTTTTAAGGAGCCTTTTTGCCCCACAGGTGATTGGCCAAGTCTGCAGTAAAGTGCAGAGTGTGTGGGCTTCTCTGCAGATTTGTTAGTCTTAAGGTGTTTCTGTAGCTTTCTCTGTACATTTTGTATCCGTTTCAATTAAGGAGGTATTGATAGAAAGTCCTTATTTGGACTGGTAGAGGCTGTCCTTTTTTTAAAAAGGAAGAGTACCCAATTTTAAGGTAATGTACCACATAGTGTGATCATCCTCAGGTGATTGTTCTGATACTTGATCGGATCATAAATACTAATCTGTATCTCTCTTTTCTCCCATAGTGGCGAAAGAAGCGGATGCGCAGGTATGGCAACATGTGCTTTTATTTTATTCTCTAGTTCATTGTACTGTTCTCAAAAACCTTACTTGAAGATCTTTATTTAACATTCTTCAATTCGTATGTCATTATTTCATAACATGGTTCATATATGTCTACCTAAAATATAATAGGATTGAAATTTGAATGTCCCAATTCTGTGTATGCCAAAACTTGGTATAATGGTGAAGGTGGTTCAGAAAGACATTTTATTTGCAAATGATGTCTTTTTGGATTGAAATTTGGTCAGAATGTGATGACTTTTGCTTTCTCCTGGGACTGGGAGAGTGTGACTTCTGCAAGTTCACCCATTGGATTTCTATGGCTCAGGATTTGAACCCAGTGCTGAAGCCACCTCATCCTGTTGACGTTTCAGTGTGGCTGACTCCCTAGTATGTGTTTGGGTTTGTGGCTAAATAACATTTTCAATGGTTCACACTTTTCAACCATAAAAATAGTCCCGATGGCACAAGTGAAGTTGAACCATTCAGGTTAGCCATCTGTTAGGGGTACCTTGACTGCTTTTCCTGCACAGATGGTTCATATAGTCTCTTCCAACTTTATTATTCTGTGATGATGATGATTCTAGGTTTCAGCTTGTCTCGATATCAGTATGCTGGAGACAGTGTGAAGCCTATAGTGGTTCTTCTCAAGGCTGTGTTTAAGAAGTATAAGTAACAATTGAAACACAAGCACCCTAGTGAGAGTTTTTTTTCATTGCAATGGACATAAGCAGGTTTCTTAGATCTGCTTTGTTTTTTCACTATGAGCTTGGCCTATACTAGCTGAAGTCAGGTGCATTAGAAAATCAAGACAGATATGTAGAATTAAGATACCTCTTTTGAGTGCTCAGCCTCCTTGTGTTCACTAATATAATTGAATCTTGCCTACAAACACTTGCACATCAATATTCTCATCTGCTTTTATCTACCAAACATTCTTGATTTTCCAACTGGAAATGGGAATTGGAAACCATTGGCAGTCTCTGGATCACTCTGAGATTATCTACACATAGTGATCTACTTTCTGATCACCCTTTGCATTCAGACTAAGGATTTTATTAGGCATCACATGTTATATCTCTTGAGGTCCCCTATTCCTGCAGTGTGTAAATTAAGTCCTATGAAGGACTGCAAAGGAATCAACTGAATATTGATTTAGCACCACTAGGGGATTGTTTGTACAGATCCAAGTCAGAATGTTCTCATGTCTTTACTGCCCTGCCTTGATGCTTGGTCAATTTTTGCTTCTGTTCATTTAAAATATTAATGTTTATATTCTTTATTGCATCCTGCTTGCTCTTGTTCCCTGCACATGCAAGGAGACATAGAAACAGGCATGAGTTACGAAATACAGACATTTAGTCTTTCACTTGCCAAGAAACTTGCCAACTTTATATTAAATAGTGGTTGGTTCATTCCCCATTTCTGGGCACACAGATTGTTATAGTTGAGACTATTGTGAACACTTGTTTCCTGGGTTCCTCCTCACTACATCAGGGACTTGGCAAATGATTGGATTATATATGTGTTAAATGAAAAATCCATCTTGCACAGAGTTTTATGCTATATGAATCTACTTTGCTTTACCACAGTTGTAAGTTCTTCCCTGGTTTAAAAGTAGAAAAAGTTAGTGAGAATTGAACTAGCTTTTCTCCTGTTAAAAATCCTCTTGTCCTTACTGAATCCAAAAGGTCAAATAACTTATTTCTGCAAAGTGAGCTCCCAGTAAGTTCTATCTGTAAAAGTTAATAGTCTGTGCTGTTTTCTAGAACTCAAGATAGAGATTGAATCTTAAATACTAGTTGATCAAATACTACAAGGTTGGCAAATTTGTCAGTCCCTACTAATTGAAGAATGTTAATTATTTAGCCCATCTGCAACCATCTATCCTAAGTGAAAGCGAGGAAGTTTATAGCACAACAAATGTGGATGGTGCCTGGTTGGGAAGGGCCAGGCTAAGGAGGAAAACCTTCAGATGGAATTCCTGGTATTAGGATAGGGAAAGTATCCTTATGTGCATCCTTATGTGGAGTTTAGCATGAAAGAGTGACAGGTGCTTCAGTTGAGCAGAAGTAAATGCCAGATCATGAGTGCTTAGATATTTCACTTTTGACAGGGATTCATTTAATAAGCTTTGTGATAGTGATAAGTATTTATAGTGGCTGCAGCAGAATATAAATCCATCCACTTGATCTAATTGGACTTGTCAACTTGGTGGTCTTTAACAGGCCCAGTCTCAGCCAGCTTGTCAGAAACTAATTTGGAGTTATATAGGAATGGAATTTTGTTTCCTTCCACTCTGGTACTGCTTGCTTTTTGAAAAGTTGATTTTAAAAGCAAATTGTTGGTTGGGGTAGTTAAAGCATGATAGGCAGCACACTGACAGAAACAACTTATTAGTTGCTTTTTTTCTCTGAGGAAGAACTAGAGCATTAATTGAAAGTCCAGTCCACGCACAATAAAAGAATATTATCTCTTACAGGCTGAAGCGCAAAAGGAGAAAGATGAGGCAGAGGTCCAAGTAGACGTTGCTCACAGTGCTACTGAAGCTGCAAAATGAGAGTATGGAAGGATGGAGCTTGGGAAGCTGAATTCCAGATAACGCCTTCTATTTGCTGCTGCCAGAAGACCCCTTACCTACCTTCAGGAGATTCCATCTTAAAGTCTAGGAGCCATGCTTCTTCAAGGGTCGAGCTTTGAGCTGTACTATTCTGGACTCATCCTCTTTGTGGCTTGATGTAGCAACTGTATAAAATAAAACCCTTTTCTTGGGAATTCAGCACATTTTTTCTTAACAATTCTTGAATAATCAGTAAAAGGTTTTGAAATTATAGAGGTGTTAGCTACTTTAATTTTACTTGGAAATTTTCTTTGCAGTTATTTATCAGTTAATGGTACTTTTAAACTTGCTTATACGCAGTTACTATGCTGCAGTCTAGCAATGGGATTAGGGAAAAGTAGGATCCAGCCACCTTCAGGTTGAAAGATGAGAATTGCTACTTTGTGGAAGCATTCTGCTTTCAACCTGTTAGTGCTGTTTTCTGAACTATTTTGCCTGGGAATCAAATGCTCAGACCAGAATCAACTTGCAAGACCTCATGGTATCAAATCCTCAGCAATTCATAATCTTTCTGTAGGGGTGTATAGGTTAATCTTTGCCAGATAGTAACTGTATATTCTTTCTCAAACAAGAACACTGCATCTCTGTATAGTCTCCTTGGACTAAAAAAGGAGTGATAACCTCAGTCTATTTCTAGAATATTAAAGAATGCCGTAAGGGACCATTAACAGGTAAAGATGTGCGCTATTAGGTCTCTTGAGTGAGTTTCTGATGTTACGGCAGGACTGAGCACCTTGTTCATTGCACTGTGCCTTAAAGTTGACTGATGTAGGTTGAGCCCTCTCTTATGGTCTTAAGATTTATTCAGAGGTTTGCAATTGCCTTAACCTAAGGTGGAAAGAGTATAACTTGCCTGAGGTCAGGCAATGCATTCTGATGATAAGAAGGGGCATTTTAATGGTTGTCCAGCACAAACCACTTGTTCTCAAGCAAGTTGTAAACCAACCTTTTTGGAGATTACCAGATCCTATAAATTCTGCCCTTTTGGGGACATAAGGGAAGATCTGATGGGTAATAGGTAGTCTTTCCCTGCTTCCAGTTTTTCTGCATGAATTAAGAGATGCTGGAAATAGTGAAGAAAAAAAATGCCCCCTTTTAAAAGGACATTTGAGTTTGAGAAAGTTCACGGCTTGTTTTGTACATTAAAAGATTTCCTAGTTTTAATACGCTTGCTTTTTCCAGAGAACTATAGGAACAAATTGGCTGGAGAGGGAATAGTCCAGGAAGGCTTTACATTGCATGTTCATAAGACTGATAAGTTTAACAAATTGATCTATCGTTTGAGATAATAAATTAATAATACATGTTGAACGGTCAAAAATGGTCAAAAATGCTCCATACAGGTGGCTGGCTGATACTTTTGCTTTGTGGTGGTTTAATGCATACATTTTGTTCCACACACAAAATAAGTAAAAATACTGCATAAAAGTTATCTATAGCTTATGGGAATTGGACCCATTTATGTTTGTGTATGTATATCAGGCATGGGCTAGCTTCAGCCTTCCAGGTCCTTTGGACTTCAACTCCCACAATTCCTAACAGCCTACTGGCTGTTAGGAATTGTGGGAGTTGCAGTCCAAAACACCTGGATTGCTGAAATTTGCCTATGCCTGGTTGTGTCTGTATAGTTAGATGTGTATATTCAAACAATCCAGAGTACTTCTAGTCCCAAGTAAGTTGGACAAGGTATACACTATTTTGTGGCTTTACTATATGGATTTCATCAAACTAGAGCAGGCATCCTCAAATTACAGCCCTCCAGAATTCCTGCCAATTGAACAAGCTCGTTAGGGCTTATGGGAGTTGGAAGCCCAAACAGCTAGAGGGCTGCAGTTTGAGGATACCTGCACTAGAGCATGGATCCACTTTAAACCTGGTTGCTGACTCCTGGAAAATTCTGGGGCTTGTAGTTTGGGGAGGGGCCTTTAAACCTCTCAGCCAGACAGGTCCTGAATCTCACAAAACTACAACCCCCAGAATTCTGGAGGAGGCAGTATGTGGATTTAAAGTGGATCCATGTTCTTGTGTGCCGAGGAAGTATATTCTCAGTTTGCTTCTGACATGATAAAAGGCTACAATAGGCATTTTAAATTATTTTTCTAAGTCAGTGGTTCCCAACCTTTGGGCCTCCAGGTGTTTTGGAGTTCAGCTTCCACAGTTCCTAACAGCTGGTAAAGCTGGTTAGGATTTCTGTGAGTTTTACGTCCAAAACACCTGGAGGCCCAAAGGTTGGGAACCACTATTTTAAGTGATCATAGGCGGGGTTCATATCAAAAAAGTGGGTTAAACCCTTGCGCCAGCAGGACTGAAGACTGATGGGTTGGAGGTTTGAATCGAATCTGGGGAGAGCGTGAATGAGCTCCCTCTGTCAGCTCCAGCTCCCCATGTGGGGACATGAGAGAAGCCTCCCACAAGGATGATTAAAAAAATCAAAACATTGTTTTTATCTATTTTATGATGTTTTTGAGCATTGAATTTTGCTATTGTTAACCGCTCTGAGTCGCCCCAGGGCTGAGAAGAGCGGTATACAAATATAGTAAGTCAATCAATCTGGGTGATGTCCTTGCAGAGGCCAATTCTATCACACCAGAAGCGACTTGTAGTTTATCAGGTCGCTCCTGACACGAAAAAAAGAAAACATCCAGTTCCTGCTCCAAAGGGGCGAAGCAGATGTAGGGTCCTTAGTCTACATCGCGGCTGCATGGCAGTGGGCCTTTATTTGGCCAGATAGGTTTCCTCTGAGGGAGTGCCTGGCGGGAAAGCCCTCCGAGTCTGGCGCGGCTAAGGCACCGCGGAGGAAGGGCAAGCCTTTGGCGGAAGAAACGATAGAGCACTTCCGGTGGGGATGGCTGGACGGGCGCCGGAAGGGGCTGCGCTTGGCCTGGAGCGGAGGAGGCCGGAGTGACGGGAGTGGGTGAAAGAGGGAAGCGGGAGGGGCGGAGAGGCGCCCGGGTTGGTCGCCCGCCAAGCAGGCCTTGGCTTCGTCCCGCTCCCGGGGACCTGGCCGTGTTGCCCGTCTCCTTCCCTGAGGCGGGAGCGGGCCTCCTTGGGGGGAAAGCGGGGCCGCTTTGTCTTCCCCGCTCCCCCCTTCTCCTCCTCCTCCTCCTCGCTCTGCGGGAAGCGGTGGGCTGGCATGGGGCGCCAGGGAACCCGGAGGCCGCGGAGTTGGCGGGAAGAAGGGCCCCGCATCGCCATGGACTGAGGTCGGTTCCCCTTCTTTTATTATACCGACACCCCCCTCTCTCCCTCCCGGCAGCACCTGCCCCGGAAATACCGCAGAACGGACCCAAGTTGAGTCTGAAAAGTTTTTGCTGTTTGCACCTCCATTGGAGAACCCATCCAAGGGGATCCCACTTCAAGAGCCATGGCTCCATGCTAGGGAGTTCCAGGAGTTGTAGTTTTGCAGGGAGTTTAGCCTCCTCTGCCAAACACGCCTGTGTTTCCATAGCGATGAGCCAAGGAGTTAAGCTGCATTCATTCTACAGTGTAGACCAGGCATGGGCAAACTTGGGCCCTCCACGTGTTTTGGACTTCAACTCCCACAATTCCTAACAGCCGGTAGGCTGTTAGGAATTGTGAGAGTTGAAGTCCAAAACACCTGGAGGGCCCAAGTTTGCCCATGCCTGGGATCAGATAGGTTTTAGCGTCATTACAACTACTACTATTATCACTACTACCAAGTTTGGAAACTCCAGCAGGTTCAAAATACAGCACCCAGATCAGTAATAGGAACATCCAGGAGTGAACATATCACCACTATCCTAAAGTCACTCCACTGGCTGGCAATTCGTTTCTGGGCAAAATACAAAGTATTGGTTTTTACTTTTAAAGCCCTACATGATTTTGGTCATGTTACCTACAGGATCACCTTCCCCCATAGGACCCGCGGTGGCACAATGGGTTAAACCCTTTTGCCAGCTGAATTGCTGACTTGAATTTATTTATTTATTTATTTAAAAGTTTTATATACCGACCTTCTCACCTCTCTTGAGGGACTCAGACCGGTTTCCAACCATAATATCACATACAGTCAATAAAACATAATAATTCATATTACAATAAAACATTAAAACAGCAATTACATTCAATAACTACAATGGTCAGTCGTCCTACTAAAAGCATTGTTCATGCTTTTAGTCTCATGCTTTTAGACTTGAAAGTCTGAGGTTTGAATCTGCGATACGGAGTGAGCTCCCATCTGTCAGCTCCAGCCTCCCAGGGACATGAGAGAAGCCTCCCACAGGATAGTAACACATCCAGGTGTCCTTTGGACAACATCTCCGCATATGGCCAATTCTCTCACACCGGAAGCGACTTGCAGTTTCTCAAGTAGCTTCTGACATGATAAAAAAATACCTTCTCCCATACATTCCACCCCAAACACTGAGGTCCTCTGAAGGGCATCTGCTCCAACCAGCCAGAACCCAACTGGCAACTCACCCAGAGGACCTTTTTATCAGCAGTACCAAGACTGAGGAACAACCTGCCAGTAGAGCTCCGACAGCTAGATCCGCTGTCACAATTTAAAAACCATGTAAAGACCTATCTCTTTGGGTAGGCCTACCCAGCCAGTCTTTAAGCATTAATTTTAAACTTGCATCTTATGTTTAATCTCTGCTTTGTGTATTTTAATATGTTTTTGTAGAAATACGTTTTAATATGTGTATTTTAAATAATGTGAATGTGTGTTTTAGCAGTGTTGTAACCCACCTTCAGCTGTGAGGAGAAGTGGGCAAGAAAGAAATATTAATTATTATTTATTATTACTACTACTACTACTTACAGCTGCAGTGTTATAAAATTCTGTCCTTAGCCAAGCAGAAATGGATTAGATAAGATACTGGACTAAGTACAGTGCTCTGTCTTCTAAAGTCCCTCAGGGGTTACCATTATTTAGTGATGAAGTAACCCCCATTAGCTTTTAGAAAATGTGTTTACAGCAACACAGTTTGTAGAATAGTAATAACAGATAAAGACCTGTAAAGGAGGGTTTTTTTCCTATGCAGTGTAGGGGACTGCTGGAAATATGCTTGGGTGTATTTTCAGTTAATATGAGATACTCAGTAAACATAATATCTTTCGCAGTCCACCCAGGAGTGCTCTGCAACACATGGAGTTTCTATAGTAGGCGCTTCATAGCAGACAAAGTACCGGAGGCAGATGGAAAATCCCTGGAATACATCTATTTTTTTTCTTAAAACTAGAATCGTGATGCAAAGGATTTGTGATCTCTCCCTCATTCTGCAATGCCACCTCTAAATGTATGCAAAGAGAGGAGGTTGTCATGTTTTGCTTTTCATTTTTCTTTTAATAGCTCTTGGAGGCAAATCAAGTCTGAACCTCTGCCAGAATAAACCCTAGCATGGCTCTGAAAGTTTTGAATTTTGAAGGTAAGGTTGAACTTGGAATCTGAAGGTTTTCTTTGTTAAAATATCTATCAGCGATGAGGTGTTAAAATCTTTTGGAGTTTCAGATGTTATTCTTTGGAATGAGCCCAATTGTAAAGTGACTTTTCTTAAGCTACACAGGGTAGAATTTTAGTTTGAAACCATAAGTAGAATAACTTAACATTTTAAACAATGAATCTTTGCTTTCTTTGGTTTTGTATAATTATTCCTGATTATTGCTTGAATTTCCTTCCCCGCACTCCTGAACATCCCCAGATTTATCTAATCTCCTGTGGGGGGTTGTGTGTGGATTATATGCTACTTCTTAGATACACGAGGTGCTGAATTTGCAAAATGGGAAATCCTTCCACTCCCACATCTCCATCCTAATGAAATCCTTACTTTCAATATAAGTAGACCTGCTGAGTCTCGAGAATCCCAAAAATAATGGTATTAGGTAAGAGGAGATATATTAAAGGTCTTTGCAGAAACTAAGGACATTTAATAACAAGTTGGTGTGCTATGCTAGATGAGTGCTGTATTCATTTGCAGCAATTTCAAATTTTCTTGATTTAATTTTAACCGACAATGAGAATTTGTTTATTATTATTATTATTATTATTATTAAAGTGTAGGCTGGTTTGGCATTCACAGCCACTAATGTCTTGCTCTTGAAACCCTATATTCAGAGCACAGTCATTTGGGACTGCAAATGCTACTGAAACACAAACCAGTAATAGCTATATGATTCTTGTAAACATTTGAAATTGGGCTGGTGTAACTTGGTGGCGCAGCAAGTTAAACCACTCAGCTGCAGAACTTGCTGACTGAAAGGTTGGCAGTTCAGATCCAGGGAGCGAGGCGAGCTGCTGCTCTTAGGCCCAGCTTCTGCCAACCTAGCAGTTTGAAAACTTGCAAGTGTGAGTAGATTAATTGGTACTGCTTCTACGGGAAGATAGCAGCGTTCCATGCAGTCATGCTGGCCACATGACTTTGGAGGCATCTACAGACAATGCCGGCTCTTTGGCTTAGAAATGGAGATTAGCACCACCCCCTAGAGTCAGACATGACTAGACTTAATGTCAAGGGGAAACCTTTACCTTTACTCAATGAAGACCAAAAAAATGTAGAACTAGGAAAAAAGAAAGAAGACAACCCAGCTGTGTAAGTCTATGTGAAGTGATTTGTTCAGGCCTGGACTCATATTGCCAAAGTAAAGAAAAGAATTAGGAGAAATTAAAATTACAGTTTTGAGGCCATTCTAGCCAAGCAAATACTGAACTAGACCTATTTAGATAGACAGTAAGATACATGTTTTATATGAAAGTATCTTGCACATGCCAACAAAACATTTTCCCTTTATATCCCTGTGCAGTAGCTTGATTTTATTTCTCAGCCCAGACAGGGCTAGAAAAAGATGCCTGACCGTGACAACAGCTATAACGGTAGTGGGAATGATGAAGCGAGTGCCAACTCCTATGTCATCTGCCGGGATTTCCTGCGCAACGTCTGCAAGCGAGGCAAGCGCTGTCGCTTCCGCCACCCTGATATCAATGAGGTGACCAACCTTGGAGTCAGCAAGAACGAGTTCATCTTCTGCCATGACTTCCAGAACAAGGAGTGTGTCCGTATCAACTGCCGCTTCATCCATGGCACTAAGGAGGATGAGGATTGCTATAAAAAGACCGGAGAGCTCCCTCCGAGGCTCCGCCAGAAAGTGGCAGCTGGGCTTGGCCTTTCCCCAGCTGATCTCCCTAACAGCAAGGAGGAGGTACCGATTTGTAGGGACTTCCTCAAGGGGGATTGCCAGCGTGGAGCCAAATGTAAATTTCAGCACCTGCAGCGGGATTACGAGTATGATGCCCGGGGTCTGACTACCCGGGAGCAGGGCATCACCACTCCTGTGCGTCGGTACGACCCATATGACCCGATGTATGACTCTGACCGGTGCTATGATGACCACGACCCTGTGCTTAAGCGGCGGCGGGTAGATGGGCTCCACTTTGAGACTTATGAGTACAACTTCACCAGTCCACGTACAGTAGAGTACCGGCTCTTGGAAGAAGAAAATATCATGCTCCGCAAACGTATTGAAGACCTCAAGAAGCAGGTGAACAACCTCCTGGCCACAAACGAGGTCCTCCTGGAACAGAACGCCCAATTCCGCAACCAGGCCAAGGTGATGACTCTCAGCTCCACCGCAACAGCCACCGAGCAGACTCTGGCACCCACAGTGGGCACTGTCACTAACTACAATCATAGCATTGCCCAGACTCACACTACCTTGAGTAGTCAGGCTCTGCAGCCACGGCCTGTCTCCCAGCAGGATTTGGTGGCTCCAGCTGGAGCACAGGCAGCCCCTCCCAGCAACGCAGCACCTCCTATGAACCCCGAAATCACCCCACTGTCAGCAGCTCTGGCTCAGACCATTGCTCAGGGGATGGCTCCACCCGTCTCCATGGCACCTGTAGCTGTCTCAGTGGCTCCAGTGGCTGTGTCCATGGCTCAGCCCTTGGGGGGCATCACCATGAGCCATGCCACCACGCCCATGGTGACATACCCTATAGCCTCCCAGAGCATGAGGATAACAGCCATGCCTCACTAACCCACATCCAGGGGAGGTGCCCTCATTCAGTCTGTGCTACCCCTAAATCAAGGGGAAATACTTGCAAGGATCTTTTTCTGTCCTGTTGAAGGATATAGAAAAGATAATGAAATTGGTTTCGTATGTGAATCTGAAAGTCACCAGAATTCTCATTTCTACACACTGGGGAAGGACAGTCGCTTGGGCTGACGATTTTCCTCAAGCAAGCGTATGTGGCTCCCCCCACCCCCTCACAAAATAGCAGCAGGACTCAGGGATGACAGAACTAGCAAAGCAATTTGGAGAGTGCCGTAATCTCATAGCCTCTGTGTGTATTTTGTATCTGTTTTGCAGCTTGTCCATCCTCATGGAATTTACCCACCAAATCCTTTGAGTGTATTAATTCAGCAAATTGCCCTGCTTAATGGAAACATTGCTTGCACACACATGCTTATTTCTCCGGTGGACCAGAGAAAATACAGCTTTGCTCCCTGCTACTTGCCACTGAAAAGAAGAGAGGCTTTTGTTGACTTGGTCAAAGAAAAGGCTGAGGCTCAACCAGCGCAAGCTCTAAAAAGAGCAGAGACTCAGGCAGACTTTTCTTGGAGTAGTATTGCAGACTCTCATGTTTAATCCAATTTGTCTCTCTTGGTATAATATACAGATGAATATGCTGGAAAAGTCCTAGGAAAAACCAGATTTAATATGGTTTCCTTCTGACTTGAACGGGAGTGTAAGTTAAAATTGTGTGTTTAGAAAGAGCAGAGTCAACGTTCTTAGTGTTACTAAAGCTTTTGAGTAGAGGTGATTGCAGAGATACACAAAGATGACATTTTTGTATGCATTTCTGAGTTCTTAAAGAGTTTAGGATGCAGTGACAGGATCTCTTGGAACCATCCAAAAGATGGGCATCTTAATTTCCCATCCACACATGCAGGGTCACCTGGTGCCTTGTAATATCAGAAACCATTAATGAGTTGTCTCCCACTCTTTTCTTTCCACTGCAGTCTTTACTGCCTTCTGCCCGTACCTCATGTCAGAATTTCTCTCACTTCCAAGGAATTTGTTGTTTGTAGGGGCTTTTCTGCTCTGCACCGCTTCATGTTTTGTTACACAACAACAACACATTTTTTTAAAAAAAATACAAGAAACCTCCCCCATGTGTTTTTATTTGGTCTTTTGTTTTCTTCTTGATTTCCTTTTTATTGGTTGATGTGAATGTGAATTTCAGCTCCTCCTTGGGTCAAAAGTAGCCTTTGCGTTTTTGTGTTTCATTTGGATTGGTTTTTATTAGAAGGTTTTAAAGAAAATGAGGAAAATGTTTCATAACCCAGCTGTTTCTACTGTTAACAGTGCAAATGTTTTCAGCTATTAAAGCAAATGTACAGTCATCACAAATATTCAGTGGTTATATGATTTTATATATAGATTTAAAAATGCTTATTTTCTTACTGTTTCCCTGGTGTGTTGCTTGCTCCACATGCATTTTGGAATTTCCTTTTTGAAAATGTTTGAATCTTGAAATATATTCTCCTATGAAGTTTCCTAAACATTAACAGTATTGCAGGAGAGAATGGGAGAATGAAAGCCAATGTGTGGGGATGGATCTAGAAGAGTCTTGATTTTGGGGAAAATTGTAATCTTGATTGAAGGTTGAGGTCAACCAAGATTGATCACCTTGATTCATTTAACTAGGCTGCAAACCTAGGAGGATATCCCTTTTCTGTCAGTGTTAAAATGGGTTTGGAAACTTGAGAAGAATATAATCAGGTAGGTTAAATAAAGATTTTGTTTTATAAGTGCTTACTGAGGTCTAGGTTTGTTTGGGGTTGTGGAATCTGATTTAAATGACCCTTCTATTAGATCTTTGAGCATTTTACTTATTTAATGTTGTTTTATGGTGGCCCTACTCATGAGACCCTTGAGAGATGAGTCTGAGTTGTCAGCTCAGATCTTGTGAATTCAGGCCTGTGGCTCTGTTAGCTGTGGCAGCCCATTGTAATGTGCTCTCAGATGCTGTCATTTTTCTCCCAGATAATCACTTTTTTCTCATTATATGTCCGAAATCCAATAGCCTCAGTTTAATCATGTGGACTCTTGGGCTTTATTTTGTCCTATACTCATTTATTTAACTTGTTGCATGTAACATGCACAGGTTTCGCTTTTTGAGGTACATCACCAGATCTGGCTGGGCAAAGATGAAAGAGCAGCTAAATTTAATACTGTCCCATAACAAGTTCTTATGCATATGACATACACTGTACATTAAATATGAAGGATGAATATTTGTTTTGTGAAACGCATTGTATTGTGCTCCATACCTGTCCTTTTGTTGGTAAAGAGCACCCATGCAATGTGATCTTTCCTCAAAGGGAATGTACTTCAGATTTTTGGAATTTTTAGTTGCCTTTTTTTACCTTTGTATTTTTTTACCACTGTATTTTTGAAATACAGTGCTTGGATCAGAACACAATATTCTAAGTGTGGTTGTTTTAGAGATGTGCACAAACACATACTGATCCTAGCATGGGATTTGCATTTTTCACAACTGCCACACCTGCTGAATTGATTTTTTATTGAGCTGTTCCTTGTCATTCCTTTTGTGTAATTGATTTCCATTTCAATGGACATGTGAAACTGGGATTTTCTACCAACTTATATAACTTTTCATCCATTTAGTTTTGTGGTGAAGCTCCTTCTGAAACAAGTCACTATTTGTGTGTGTTCTAACTACCTTAGATATTTTGGTTCTTCTCAGCAAATAAAACCATCCTCAAATGGTGTCTTGCAAGCAGAACAGCAGAATCTGGAGTGGTTAAGTAGATGGTGCAAAAATGGCTGGCAACCTTTGCTACTTTAAAACCCTTTCCAGGATGCTGCAGTACATAGCAAGTCTGTTTTGGAAGACTGTGAAATATTGAGTTTTCTTCTCATGGTGGACCCATTCTTCCTAGCAGACCCTTCAGGAAAATACCTTCCGTGTGCAGAAGTTGCTGTCACTTTATTGCCTCTGCTTGATTATACTACATCTTCTCATTGGTTGGAGAGAGGATAAGGAATGGTATAACACATTGTTGTTGTTATGTACAAAGGTCATTTCTGACTTATGGTGACCCGAAGGCTACCCTTTGTGGGTTTTCTTGGCAACATTTTTTCAAAGGAAGTTTATTTATTTATTTACAGATTTATATTTTGCCCTTCTCACCCCGGATCACAGAACACAAACACAGGAAACATTCAATTCCATTAAACAGACAGAACAAACAACAAATAGAGATATTATGTTGGCATTTTCCCCAGCTTAGGTATCCTGGAGGTTGTGCTCACTTCCGGCCACAGGGGGGTGCTGTCGTTCCACTATGACAAAGAGCTCTTAATCACAGACTTCTCCTTCCTTTGATCACCAGCATTTTTCTGGTATTTCCTTTTTTTTATGGTGCTGTAAAATACCTCCCTGCTTAAACAGTGCCTAATTTCTCTATGCTCACAGCTGTTTTCTAACTGCTTAGGTGGACAGTGAGCTGAGCTGAAGGTTGGGTGCTTACCCCAACCTGGGCTTTGAACTGGCAACCTTTCAATTGGTAAGGTCTGCTGTAGGTGGTGATCAACCAGCTGTGCTAAAGTTTGCCTTTGCTTTTTTCTGAGCCTGGGAGTGTGTCTTGTTCAAGGAAATGGACGTAAATTCCAAGAATGCCAGCCACTTTCTCTTGAGAACTGAACAATCATTTTTTTCTTCAACCAGAATATAAAGTATATAATTCCAAGACATCATGGCCAATTGGGAACTGCTGTGGTAGGTAATCTGATCCACATTACTCCATAGTAGTCAGCAATGCCTTATTTGCACTCTTTCCACCCCTTTAGGCAATTAATAGCTAGGAAATTTGCATACTTCCTACTTCATGCAGAACCACTTACACTGAGAAAGGTAAGGCACTTTCAATGAAGTAAACATATACTATCTCCCACCCTGGTCATTCCACAGATATATAAACCCATTTTCCTAGTTGCAACAGGCCTCACTACCTCTGTGGATGCTTGCCATAGATGCAGGCGAAATGTCAGGAGAGAATGCCTCTAGAACATGGCCATATAGCTCAAAAAAAGCCTACATATAATTCTTTTTAAATAGCATGAAAAGAATGTAGCTGCTGCCTAGAGAGCTTGTGACAAGGAAAATCAAAGAGCAGAAATGTATTGAGAAGGAAACAAGTCATGGGAGCGAATACGTTTTTTAAAAAGATATAGAATCCTAGAGTTGGAAGAGACCTCATGAGCCACCCAGTCCAACCCCCTGCCAAGAAGCAGGAAAACTGCATTCAAAGCACCCCGACAGATGGCCCCAGCCTCTGTTTAAAAGCTTCCAAAGAAGGAGCCTCCACCACACTGGGGCAGAGAGTTCCACTGCTGAACGGCTCTCACAGTCAGGAAGTTCTTCCTAATGTTCAGATGGAATCTCCTCTCTTGTAGTTTGAAGCCATTGTTCTGCGTCCTGGTCTCTAAGGCAGCAGAAAACAAGTTGCTCCCTCCTCCCTATGACTTCCTGTCACGTATTTATACATGGCTATCATGTCACCAATTAGCCTTCTCTTCTTCTGGCTAAATATGCCCAGCTCTTTAAGCCGCTCCTCATAGGGCTTGTTCTCCAGACCCTTGATCATTTCAGTTGTCCTCTGGACACATTCCAGCTTGTCAAGGTGAAGAAGGTCAAGATTAGATGTATACTTTAAGTCAGGCATGGGCAAACTTTGGCCCGCTCTCTGGGTGTTTTGGACTTCAACTCTCACCGTTCCTCACAGCCTCAGGCCCTTTCCTTTCCCCCCCCACCCCCTAAGGGGCTGAGGGGGGAAAGGAAAGGGCCTGAGGCTGTGAGGAACGGTGAGAGTTGAAGGCCAAAACACCCAGAGAGAGGGCCAAAATTTGCCCATACCAGCTCTAAAATGTCATGAGTGGCTCCTCTGCGTTCTCCATTTGTTGGGGTTAAAGATGTGGAAAAATAAAGAAGGAAAGGGGTTTTGTAATAGCACCACCTGCTGGGTCAGTTGATGTTATATTTTCAAATGTTCATAAATAATATTTTGTCTTCTGAGGTAAGTCATCATGGATTTACCTCAGACGCGACCTGTAACATGCAAACCAACCAACCAACGGTCCTTTGAGGACCAACCATGACAATACTCTCAATTAACACTGAAGGCATGTCAGTTGCCAAAGAATAACTGCTTTAATGAACTGTGTCAAGATAAGAAATATGATGTGTTGTGTGTCCAAGAAACACACAGGGATAAACAACTAGTAGAAAAATTGAGGAAAAATATCGGTCACACTGACAGGGATACGGAGAGCTTAAGGAATAGGAAAATAATATCTTCCAATGTTCATAAATATTTTATTTTCTGAGGTAAGTCATTGGTCATGGACTTTAGGTAGCAGAGCTGAGGTAAAGTGCAGAGAGGAGGCCCAGGAAGACAGTTCCATCTTGTCTCCTGTGTTATGCTAATAATATAATATATTATATTGTATATACATATAATATTTATAATATTATAATGTAATACAATATAATAATATGATATAATAGGAGCCCCCGGTGGCGCAGTGGGTTAAACCCTTCTGCCAGCAGGACTGAAGACCGACAGGTCGCAGGTTCGAATCCGGAGAGAGGCAGATGAGCTCCCTCTATCAGCTCCAGCTCCTCATGCGGGGACATGAGAGAAGCCTCCCACAAGGATGATAAAAACATCAAATCATCCGGGCGTCCCCTGGGCAACGTCCTTTCAGACGGCCAATTCTCTCACACCAGAAGTGACTTGCAGTTTCTCAAGTTGACACGACCAAAATATGATATAATTATATATTTTACATTATATGTAGTATTACTAATAATATTACAATACAATGGTATAGTACAATATAGTAATATATAATACTGATATTGTGCTATGCTAATAATACATCTTGTATGTATATACGAGGGGTATTTTTTAAGTAAGGTCCATTTTGTTGTAGACACTAGTAGTTCGCGCGTATACCGCAATGAGCGCGTGCGTCGTGTACCGGCATGCCTCGGGAACAACTGTGCTCAGTTTCCGCTCTGTAGCTAACCTGTACGGTTCTGTTCTGTGCTTTAAAAATGTTTAAGACTATCAGCTCACCCTCCGCATGTGAGGTTTGCTCAGTGATACGGTTTTTGTCAGCAAGGAACCTGCCTGCTGCAGAAATTCATCGACAGATTTGTGAAGTGTACGGTGATACTGTTATGAGTGAAAGCAAAGTGCGTAAGTGGGTACGACAATTCAAAGATGGCCGTGACAACGTCCATGATGAGGACCGCTCCGGTCGCCCTTCTTTGATTACAGACGATTTGGTGGCTTCAGTTGAAGCGAGGATTCGTGAGAACAGGCGCTTCACAATAACAGGTCTCTCAAACGAATTTCCTGACGTGTCGAGATCAGTGCTTTACAACATTGTTTCTGAACACCTAAAGTTTAGGAAACTGTGCTCCCATTGGGTCCCGAAACTCCTAACAGAGGAGCACAGGCAGATTCCTTGCTGACAAAAACCATATCACTGAGCGAACCTCACATGCGGCGGGTGACTTTATAGTCTTAAACATTTTTAAAGCACTGAACAGAACCGTACGGGTTAGCTACAGAGGAAACTGAGCACAGTTGTTCCCGAGGCATGCCGGTACACGACGCATGCGTTCGTTGCGGTATGAGCGCGAACTATTAGTGTCCACAACAAAACGGACCTTACTTAAAAAATACCCCTCATATATCTTGTAAGCCGCTCTGAGTAC